CCGCCCTCTTTTAGCAGGCGCAAGTGTGGGTCATCCTCGGGATCATCATCCGAGCCTGAGAGGAAGACAGCACAGGAAATATTCGTAGGAAATAGGAAAACCGCACGGAAAGCGCCCAGGTCATCTGAGCTTCAGTGGCAGATGCAGGAAAAGGCAACCATAGCGATGTCAAGCTTGGCACACTGACCGCAGCCAACCAGTACTATGTGGACGTTTGCGCCGCGCTCACCGACGCCGAACCCTTCCGGCTCTGTTCCTCCCGGAGCTACCAAGCGCCTCCCGCGGTGATGCCCAACGCCCCCTCCCCCTCTTGCTCCCGTGCCACCAGTCTCTATCCGCTTGCCGCCGGTAAGGGGATCTAGAGTCTTGACACGATTCACCAAGCTGTCCCTGCTCGAGGAAGCGCGGTGGTACGCCCGCCGTCCCGATCCCGATCCAATGGAAGCCGATCGGAGCGGGTGTGTTGCTGGAGGGGAGAGGGGGTCGCCATGACTAGGCCTCCTGCAGGGGGTGGGGGAGGCGAAAACGCGCATGGCGCGTGCGTGCACGGTTCTTTGTATTACATCTTGGTCGCGCTGACCGGCCGACCAATGAACACATGCCGGTCTTGAACAGGATAAAAACACGGGTGTCTGTGTGTGAAAAGTTAGACACACAAGCATGTTCCACGGAGGTATTCTGCCGCATTCGAAGCTCCACCTATGGCAACGGGTCCACGACACCACAACGTCCGCTGTCACTTGCTTCGTGAACAAAGCAAGTAGGAGACGAAAAGCAGTCGGAAGCGGTAGTCGTGGCGGGTATAAAGCGCAATCGGGTCATTGGAGGGACGAACAGCACGGCAAGAAAGTCTACCGAAGAGCTTTTTTACCGGCCACGTGGTGGGTCAAGAGACCGACCCTCGCGTGCGCTCACGCTCGTTGCGTCGCCGATGCTCACTGGCGTTGGGGCCTGCGCCAGCGAGGGCTCCCTCGGCAGACGACCTCTCTGCAGAAGTTCCCTGCGAGGCGGGTGCTTATGGTCCTGGACGGCAACGCGTGGGCGGCGTAAGGGTGGCGCACGCACCATCGCTTTGTGTTGTGAAACGGGGGGCATGCCGAGGCGTTTCCATTGCTGAGAGGCTCTCTACACGTGTTTCATTGAAACGCGTACTGCCTGCCATCCCGCTCAAACGTAGGTTGTGGTTTCCAGACGACGACAATCAAAGCCGCAGGGGTAGAATCCTATTTGTTTCGAAAACTTCGGGATTGCTGCAGAGGCTGGTCGCATTTGACCTGTTCGTGAAACTACTATGCAGGCTTGGCGCCAAGCAGCTGGCTTCTCTCCGCCTTCTCTCCTACCTCTTCGAAAGCGGGCCCTTGTTTCTCGTCACCGCCTTGCTGAACGCAGACCCCGGCTTGCAGATCCAAGGTGTCGACGAGAGGAGGCTTCGTGGAGGCGAGGTTCAGGGCATGAAAATGCGAGGGTGGAAGGGGTCGCGCCCGGATGAGCAGGGACTAGACAGCAGAGGGGCGACGAAGTGTGTGAATCGTTATCTTCACCAATAAGGCAGGCAGGCGGAATCCAACAGACGGCGAACACTCTGGTATCTGCGGAAAAGCTCTCGACGATGGGCTGTCTGCTCCGTTTGCCCGCACCTGGGTCGTGGCTGACATCTCGAAGAATCGTTCCGAGCGACTGCCCTTTCTCCTGCGGGCAGCCGCTGCGCCAACGTTCCTCTTCGTCCTCCTACCCCTTCCTCCGTTGTTTTTCGCTCGCCGCTCCCCTTCCCCCCCACCGCCACTGCCGCCACCGCCATCGACATCGTTCTTTCCGGACCCGTCTTGTCCCCCTTTCGAAGCCTTAGAGTCGCCACCTTCCCGTGTCGGGGCAGGAGCTACCTTGGTATAGGGTCTTCCACGCAGCGGCGACGTGATGCCGGTGACGTCGCTACCACTTCCATCGGCGGAGCAGTCTCGAACTCCGATGCGAGGCATCACCCGCACCGAGATTTTTTCAGGCGGAACGACATCTAGTATGATGACCTGTCGTCACAGGACGTGAAGGAGAGGCGAAAGCTGACGGAAAATCCCGTTCGCAATGACGCTGACAACACAAGAGGTGGGTGTTTATTGCGCTGTACGCTACAACCACGCGAATAGGGTTTCCCGCAAACGTCAACACGGCGACATCGACGACACCCACCAGCTTCAAAACGTAATACTTTTCTCGGCGTTCAGCAAGTACTACACCCCGTCGCACCTCGCCGTTAGGCCCCCACACCCAGGCTTTCCCCTTGAGCTCCTTTTTCATCTTCTTTTCCTTTGCCCTGTTCTCCTTGTCTATCCTCTCCAGCCTCTCTCGAGCCTGCGCCTGCTCTTGTATTCGGGCCTCTTCCCGTCGTCTTAAGCTCTTTCACGGGAGACATTACCAACGGGAACGGCGGCAAGTTGGCTGACTGGTCGCGTGCGGGGGGGGGTGGTTTTATGGGCGGACGAGGAAGGAAACCGATGCCTGTCGCGGTTCTCCAAGGGTTTCTTCTGAAGCACGGAAGGCACGCCTTGGTTCTGAGAGTACTTCAACACGCACACGGTGCCTTGAGCTCTGATTCTGTGCTCGCTGTCCTGAATAGCTCACCAAAAGCTTTCCGGTGGATCACCACACCGACATAGGTCACTGGAAC